ACCAGGTGAACATCATCAGGTGTTATCAAACCACCGTCAACCCAGGCAGCTGTTGCTATCTCTGCAGTTTCTCTGAGACCAGTGTGGTGTCGCATGCTGGCCAGAGCTATGCTCGGGATATCTTTCCTATTTCGAATCTTATGCCTGGAAGGTTTGGGATCATTTTTCTGGGTTGGGACAAATCACCATTCTCCTGGTCAGCACTCGGATCAGCCATGGGGAAGTCATTAAACTCTGAATCAGCTTGACTCAATCATCGGCCTTTTTACCTCACCCTGGGCCTTCTCAAGTCTCTTTTCCTCGGCAACTCTTCTCCTCTTCTGTCTCTCTGTGGCCTCCTGTCTCTTGGACTCCGGATGTCTTGGCTAGAAATCATGAGAGCCCCTATACTCCAGTCTTCTCTCTCTGTGCTGACAAATGCCAGTTCGATCAGGAATCTTCAGTTCCCTTGCAAATACAGGAGATGGGCCTCGGATTTACAGTCACGATCGCATCAAACTCAGGACAGAGAACAATTGGGCACTTGCAAGTAATTATGTCAAATAACTGGTCCAGTTGCTTGTCATAACTGCAAGTTTCCTCTCCCAAGAGATATCTCTTGCCTTTCCAACTGGCTAGCAGTCTCTCACTAATCTTCTTCTGACTTGTTATGACTGGGCTTGAACTGAGCGTTAGCCAGAGTGTACTGTGCCAAGACAGCTTTGGTCATATCACTGTGTCTTTGTTTGTGTAAGTTCTTTGGTTCTTTCACTGATTTGCTGATTAAACACCGTATCTCAAAGCATCTCTCAATGTGACAACTCCGACTAGGGCCTCTCTCCCAGACCAAAGATAGTGACTGAGATGGCTGGATTTTGGTTCTCGTCCTGACACAAACAGCCATCACAAATATTATCAACTTATAAATGCATCAGAATCTGAGCAGAAAAAATATTGTTAGTTGGGTTGTTAAAGAATGAAGTCAAGCAATGTTCACTATTTAATTGTATTGCTAAATGCAGCTGTACGTTAGATTTTCGATAATTTCACGCTAAAATTTACCTAGCAAGGTTGAAATATTGAAACTGAAATTATTTTCTGTTTATATACACTAAAATCTACCAAAAAGTGATGGGCCATTAGTTTGTGATCTTCCTCCTATGACACCTACCATTACACCCACTTCACCGTTACCACATCATCATGCACCACGTCACCATCATTACCACATCCCATCATGCACCATTATCATCATACCACCATCATTACACAAACGTCTGTTACCATCTTCATCCATACCCACAAATATCACCATCATACCACACGTCACCATCATGCACCACGTCACCATGCACCATCAGGCCGCCGTCCACCTCGATCGCTGGTTCTTGACGAAGTGGTGATAGTCTCTCCTTGAAGGTGTTCTCATTAACATGATACTCCACGGACTCTGTGGACCAACACACATTTTAGATAAACGTACAAGCAGTATATATATAACAGTATATATAAACACTATTTAAACACACCAATGTATATATTTCTACTATATAAACATCAATGTATATATACTGTATATATTGATTTATATTTAAGTATCATTAGAATTTGTATAACATGTTTACTTTCATGTTCACTGACTTAAGTTTAGGTAGTAACTTTGTATCTTCTCCTGAGACTAAACTACTGAAGAATAGTTACCACGTGAGAGTCAAGTTACTAAGTTAAAACCAGAATTAGTTGACACAGATCTATAACAGAATTAAGATAAACCAATAATCTTCAGAGTTTACCTGTTGAATTATTACGAGATTTATCCTCACCTACTCCTTACCCTTGAATCTTAATGACTAATTTGGATATTTCAATGTCATTTATGGATGTGGGATTTAGAGATCAATAATCCTCTTAAAGACAAACTGTCTTTAGTGAATTGTTTCTTAAATAACTTGTATTTCTTCTCAGTTTGTTGTTCCTCTGATATACTGCAGTTTGTCATTCAATGTTTACAAGGCATCTTCATCTTCTTAAATAAACACTGCAATTATTATGTCTGTTGTCTTTGTTGTGAAGCCAAATCGTCTTAGTCTTTCATGATAGAATTCATTGTAAACTTGTTCCGCTTTTTAGTTGTTCTATGGTATTAGAGACTCTTCTCACCCTTCTTTCCTCCTCCTTTATTCTTTCTTCCTCTCCTCCCTCGTTTTCCTTCCATCTCTAATTTCTCCTTCCTTCCTTCCTTCCTTTCCTGTAGCTCTCCTTTCTTCCTTCTAGCCCTCCTTCCTTCTTTTCTTCCCTCTCTCTTCCTAACCTCCCTTCCTCTCGCTTGTGGATGTAATAAGAATTTATGTTATGCTTTGTGACAAACACACACACACAAAATGGATGGAAAGAAAGAAAAGAAAGAAAGAAAGAAAAGAAAAGAAAGAACAGATAAATAATCTTCATTACATAAGATGAAAGAACTGTTTACCTTCCCGACAGTCGTGTAAGTTGAGACATAAGTATAGCCTGAATGAGGGGGCGAAAAATGACGATATTTTCCCCGTTTTCTTTAGATGACGAGATATAAACAACCACTAACTTTACTAAAATATCTTAGTCTGGGTTAAATCATCATACTCAAATGGTTAAATTAATTATAATATTCAGGGCCAAGGGGTTAAATCATCATACTCAACGAAGTTATATCATCATACTCAATGAAGTTAAATCATCATACACAAGGTGTTAAATCATCATACTGAAGGGGTTAAAATAATCATCATACTCAAGGGGTTAAATTATCATACTCAAGGGGTTAAATCATCATACTCAAGGGGTTAAATCATCATACTCAAGGGGTTAAATCATCATACTCAAGGGGTTAAATCATCATACTCAAGGGGTTAAATCATCATACTCAAGGGGTTAAATCATCACATTCAAGGGGTTTTATCATTATACTCAAAAAGTTAAATCATCATACTCAAGGTGTTACAAATCATCATACTCAAGGTGTTACAAATCATTAAACTCAAGGGGTTAAATCATCATACTCATGGGGTTAAATCATCACACTCAAGGGGTTAAATCATCATACTCATGGGGTTAAATCATCATACTCAAGGGTTAAATCATCATACTCAAGGTGTTACAAATCATCATACTCAAGGGGTTAAATCATCACACTCAAGGGGTTAAATCATCACACTCAAAAAGTTAAATCATCATACTCAAGGTGTTAAATCATCATACTCAAGGGGTTAAGTCATCACACTCAAGGGGTTAAATCATCATACTCAAGGTTAAATCATCATACTCAAGGTGTTATAAATCATCATACTCATTGGGTTAAATCATCACACTCAAGGGGTTAAATCATCACACTCAAGGGGTTAAATCATCACACTCAAGGGGTTAAATCATCCCTCAAGGGGTTAAATCATCACACTCAAGGGGTTAAAGTGATACATTGTCTGCAATGGTATAAACATAATACAGGGTCTACAATGGTAGAAATATTGTAACACGGGGTCTACAATGGTATAAACACAGTGACATGGGGTCTACAATGGTATAAACATAGGATACAGGGTCTACAATGGTAGAAATATAGTGACATGGGGTCTAGAAAACTAGAAACACAGTGACACGGGGTCTACAAAGGCAGAAACATAGTGATATCGATGTCAGATTGCTCGAGACATGACGAGAGAGAAAAGCGCTCAAGCAGCAGGATGTACAAAAATAGTTATTATTTTGAACAAACACGTTTATCTGTAATTTCAGCTCGGGAGTGAATGTCACTGGTGTGTGGGGCATCATTCGATTAGGAGCTTTGGCGAGTTTTTTCCCAGCTGAGATAAGTTTCCACCCCCCCACCCTCAAAAGTTACAGCTAATTGGCTGTTACAACCTGTCGATTTTGTCAATAAGTAATGATATCTAAATGAGTTTATTCATAATGGTTGGGATGACCGTTTCTGACGAGAAAGATATTTAACTAAATTATATAAAGATACATACATTCATTATTTCAAACATAAGCACGTAGGAAGTTTATCAGAAGTATTATACATGAATTAACTGTTAAACTCGGGTAGCAAATTCACATTTTAAAAAATCAGAATCACATTGAAATATTACACGGACGTTAGCAGAGGCGGGGAAATAACAATTAACATGATTATACGACCGTAATAACGAAAGCGGTTGACAGCCAGTAATTTAAATATAAGAGAAGTCTGGCAACCGTCACCTGTTGACACCAGTCTGGTGATACCGACAGATATGATTATTATGTGCTCAGTTGCGCACTGACTGTTGTCTTATTGTCCAAAAACTGGCGTTATAATTTTAGGAACAAATAAATATTTATGAAGATATGGCCCACTGCCACTAACAACGACATTAGTTACACAAAGTGGGCAGGTCGTTGAAGGCGCGAAGGTGTGCAGTAAAAAAAAAAAAGAAAAAACTTTGCAACCTGACCTTATCTTTCTTTGCGTAAAATTTGACCTTAATTTACAAAAGCTTAATATATTTGCCGATACAGAAACATCAACTGATTCTCTTCTTGTTTTGTGTTTTCCTACAAAACAAGAATTTATATGCACGAAAATTACGTTCTATAACACAATTTGGAAACCAATAGAAAATTAATCCAGCTTATGTCTCAAGGGTTTATGGCCATATGGGGCAAATAAATAGGTAATTTTAGCGATTATCCAGTATACGCGATATAGGCAGGGTCTGGTTACACTAAAATGACGGAATTTAAGTTCACGGCAGCTATTTTCGTGTGATATTATTTTCACTTCTTAATCACATGAGCTTCACAGAGTCAGTATCAACCAGTCAGGGGACATAATAAATACTCATGTACTTAAATGTCTTTCATTTATGTTTTATACCAAATATTTATGCAAGTCTATCGACAGATGACTTGTTATTAAACTCAGGGAGATAACCGCAGCTATATCAGCCAAAATAATAATAACATTTTTTAAGAAAACAGCGAGGAGGTGGGGGATATCCTGTGATACCTACGTATAAAATGACTGGCTGGTGTCTTGTGTGCTCATCCTCAGTCTGATCTTCAAGTCTCCAGTACAGCCTGCTGGAGTTCTGTAACAGGTAATGTATAACTCCCTCTCACCCTGTCACACTCAATAATGTATCCCTTTCACCCTGTGCCACTCAGTAGTAACTCCTTTCACCCTGTGCACCCACTCAGTAGTAACTCCCTTTCACCCTGTGCACCACTCAGTGTAACTCCTCTCACCCTGTGCCCACTCAGTGTACTCCCTCTCACCCTGTGCACCACTCAGTAGTAACTCCCTTCACCCCTTGCACCACAGTAGTAACTCCCTCTCCACCTCGTGCACTCAGTAGTAGCTCCCTCTCACCCTCTGCACCACTCAGTAGTAACTCCTTTCACCCTTTGCACCACTCAGTAGTAACTCCCTCTCACCCTGTGCACCACTCAGTAGTAACTCCCTCTCACCCGTACCACTCAGTGTGCTCCTCTCACCCTGTACCACTCCAAATGTAACTCCCTCTCACCCTGTGCACCACTCAGTAGTACTCCCTCTCACCCTCTGCACCACTCAGTAGTAACTTTCTTTACCTCAAGCACCGCTAATAGTAATTCCTCTCACCCTGTTACCACTCAGTAGTAACTCCCTCTCACCCTGTGCCCACTCAGTAGTAACTCCCTCTCACCCTGTGCACCCTCAGTAGTAACTCCTTTCACCCCTTGCACCCAGTAGTGACTCCTCTCACCTCGTACCCTCAGTAGTAACTCCTCTCACCCTGTGCACCACTCAGTGTACTCCTTTCACCTTGCACCACTCAGTAATGCTCCCTCTCACCTGTTACCCACTCAGTGTACTCCCTCACCCCGTGCACCACTCAGTAGTACTTCCCTCTCACCCCTGCACCACTCAGAAGTAACTCCCTCTCACCTAGTCACCACTCAGAATAACTCCCTCTCACCCTGTGCACCACTCAGTAGTAACTCCTCTCACCCAGTGCACCACTCAGTAGTAACTCCCTCTCACCCTGTGCACCACTCCAGTAGTAACTCCCTCTCACGATACCACTCAGTAGTAACTCCTCTCACCCTGTACCACTCAGTAGCAACTCCCTCTCACCCTGTGCACCACTCAGTAGTAACTCCCTCGAACCCTCTGCACCACTCAGTAGTAACTCACTCTCACACTGTGCACCACTCAGTAATCTTCCTCTCATCCTCTGCACTACTCAGTAGTAACTCCCTCTCACCCTGTGCACCACTCAGTAGTAACTCCCTCTCCCCTCTGCACTACTCAGTAGTAACTTTCTTTACCCTCAGAGCACCGCTAAGTAGTAACTCCCTCTCACCCTCTGCACTACTCAGTAGTAACTCCCTCTCACCCTGTGCACTACTCAGTAGTAACTTTCTTTACCCTCAGAGCACAGCTAAGTAGTAACTCCCTCTCGCCCTGTGCACCGCTAAATAGTAACTCTATCACTCTCAGTGCACCACTTAATTGTAACTTCCTTTCACTCGTGCACCACTAAATAGTAACTTCTCTATCCTCAGTGGACCACTTGATAATAATAGATTGTATTAGTGTTGTACTGTAGTGTTGTACTGTAGTGTTGTACTGTAGTGTTGTACTATAGTGTTGTACTGTAGTGTTGTACTGTAGTGTTGGACTGTAGTGTTATACTGTAGTGTTGTACTGTAGCATTGTACTGTAGTGTTGGACTGTAGTGTTATACTGTAGTGTTTTGCTGTAGTGTTATACTGTGGCGTTGTATTATAGTGTTGTACTAGTTTTGTACTGTAGCGTTGTGCACATGTGTACTGTAGTGGTGTATCTGTGGCGGTGTACTGTAGTGTGTTCTGTAGATTGTATTAGTGTTGTACTGTAGTGTTGTACTGTAGTGTTGTACTGTAGTGTTGTACTATAGTGTTGTACTGTAGTGTTGTACTGTAGTGTTGGACTGTAGTGTTATACTGTAGTGTTGTACTGTAGCATTGTACTGTAGTGTTGGACTGTAGTGTTATACTGTAGTGTTGTACTGTAGTGTTGTACTGTGGCGTTGTATTATAGTGTTGTACTTTAGTTTTGTACTGTAGCGTTGTACTGTAGTGTTGTACTGTAGTGGTGTACTGTAGCGGTGTACTGTAGTGTTGTTCTGTAGCGTTGTACTGTAGCGTTGTACTGTAGTGTTGTACTGTAGTGGTGTACTGTAGTGTTGTACTGTAGTGTTGTTCTGTAGCGTTGTACTGTAGCGTTGTACTGTAGTGTTGTAGTGTGGCGTTGTACTGTAGTGTTGTACTGTAGTGTTGAACTATAGTGTTGTACTGTAGTGTTGTGCTATAGCTTTGTACTGTAGTGTTGTACTGTAGTGTTGAACTATAGTGTTGTACTGTAGTGTTGTACTATAGCTTTGTACTGTAGTGTTGTACTGTAGTGTTGTACAGCCAGTGTTGTGCTGTAGTGTTGAACTTTATAGTGTTGTGCTGTAGTGTTGTACCATAACTGTACTGTAGTGTTGTACTATAGTGTTGTACTGTAGTGTTGTACTATAGCTTTGTACTGTAGTGTTGTACTGTAGTGTTGTACAGTAGTGTTGTACTGTAGTGTTGTACTATAGTGTTGTACTATAATGTACTATAGTGTTGTACTGTAGTGTTGCACTGTAGCGTTGTACTGTAGTGTTGTACTGTAGCGTTGTACTGTAGTGTTGTACTATAGTGTTGTACTGTAGTGTTGCACTATAGCGTTGTATTGTAGTGTTGTACTGTAGTGTTGTACTGTAGCGTTGTACTATAGTGTTGTACTGTAGTGTTGTACTACAGCGTTGTACTGTAGTGTTGTACTGTAGCGTTGTACTATAGTGTTGTACTACAGTGTTGTACTGTAGTGTTGTACTGTAGCGTTGTACTGTGGTTTTGTGCTGCAGTGTTGTGCTGTAGCGTTGTGCTATGGTGTTTATGCTAGTGATGTATAGAGTTGTGCTGTAGCGTTGTGCTGTAGTGTTGTACTGTGGCGTTGTGTTATGGTGTTGTGCTGTAGTGTTGTGCTGGCGTTGTGCTGTGAGTGTTGTACTGTAGCGTTGTACTGTAGTGTTGTTCTGTAGCATTGTACTGTAGCGTTGTACTGTAGTGTTGTACTGTAGTGTTGGACTGTAGTGTTATACTGTAGTGTTGTACTGTAGCATTGTACTGTAGTGTTGGACTGTAGTGTTGTACTGTAGTGTTGTACTGTAGCGTTGTACTGTAGCGTTGTACTGTAGTGTTGTACTGTAGTGTTGTACTATAGTGTTGTACTGTAGCGTTGTACTGTAGTGTTGTACTGTAGTGTTGGACTGTAGTGTTATACTGTAGTGTTGTACTGTAGCATTGTACTGTAGTGTTGGACTGTAGTGTTATACTGTAGTGTTGTACTGTAGTGTTGTACTGTGGCGTTGTATTATAGTGTTGTACTTTAGTTTTGTACTGTAGCGTTGTACTGTAGTGTTGTACTGTAGTGGTGTACTGTAGCGGTGTACTGTAGTGTTGTTCTGTAGCGTTGTACTGTAGCGTTGTACTGTAGTGTTGTAGTGTGGCGTTGTACTGTAGTGTTGTACAGTTGTGTTGTACTGTAGCATTGTACTGTAGTATTTTACTGTAGTGTTGTACTGTAGTGTTGTACTGTAGCGTTGTACTGTAGTGTTATACTGTAGTTTTGTACTTTAGTGTTATATTGCATTGTTGCACTGTAGTGATGTACTGTAGTGTTGTATTTTTTTACAGGTAGTGGATGACTCCGTAGCTGACTCTGGGGCAAGATGACTGCCAGGTGGATCATCCTTGTCTTAATGAGTAAGTCTCTCTTACGACTGTGCATATAATAAAATAAATTATAATTAGAATAGATCAGAGTTGGTTCCCCGTTCACACGCTGAGGTCCAGGGTTCGATTCCCAACTAGTGAAGTATTGTTTTCATATGGAAATCCGGGTGCTATATGGACTGATGATATATATGTGCCGATAACCACATATGAAAAAAGAATACAGTACACGAAGTTCCCAAGCGTCATTGTGTTAGTCACTTCTTCAGGGATGAGTACAAATTAAGGAGTAGTTTACAACAAGGCCCAATATATACAGTAAAGAAGAGTGAGATCAAGTCCCTAGTGATAGCGGGAGTCCATTAACTTCAAGTCATTTATTAGTTAACTAACCTTTTTTACCCGGTTACAAATATTCTTTATGATAAAATTATCCAGTTTGTACATGCCATTACTCAAATTCGTGTTGACAGATTCGGTAAGTTTAATGAGACTAGATTCTATAATGTTCCTACTGACAATTGAATTACAAGGTAATATTGAGGAGGCATTATCCCAGTCAATGTAATGCTTATTATCTCTTATTTCAATGAACAAAGCATTGGAGAGAATTAAAGAGAATTAATTCTTTCTTGAAACAATCAAGATTAATGTGGAACATTTATTTTTTAAATTTAATGTGACACTATTGTGACAGCCTTGGTTGTAAGTTGCGTTGCCAATTCATTAATATAATCTTCTTCAGTACTGTGTTTAAGAAAATTTGCAAACATTTGGAAACTTGTCCTGATCTAACATAATGATGAATAGTTTATTATTATGAAATGCACCTTTGGTTTGTTTAATATTTATCCTGACAGTGATACAGCCGAAAATAGATCCACCAATCACAATCCCCCTTACATACAGCTTTACTTCACCTAGTATTGCTAGGTAAAATTCCAAATACGAAAGCCAGGGTGAGATTGAAGTATCTTTGGTTGACTGTATGTTTGAATGGTAAGCCAGCCAATAGTGTTTATTTTAATGGTAGGATGAGCGAGGAAGAAAAAATAATTTGATTGCAATAAATTATATTTTCTTAAGAATTATAATAGATTAAAATTACTTGATTAAGATTTTCTGATTGTAGTCACACCTACCCTGGCATATAACAATAATATGTTTGTTTTTGTTTTATAGCGGGTATTAGCACCCCCCCATCCCCCACACACCCCACCCCAGGGTCATCGACCTACAACAGGGCGGGGGGGACTGAAAATAAGAATAGAAAGAAATTAAAAATAGACAAGGAAAGGTTATATTAATCTACACCGCGAAGATGTCAGAAAACCATCTTTTTAAAGTGACACAGATTGTAAGAGCATGGAAACACAGAAGAAGGCAGAGCATTCCACAGTTTGGCTGTGTGAGGAAAGAAGGAGGTACTATAACGGGTTATTCTAGTGTGACTGACAGCCACAGAGAAACGGTGGGCACCGAGGGCAAGATATGTGTTAAAGCCCAGGGCCTTGCCGGCGGTACACAGGATGCCAAATCCACCGAACATTGCCCGTTAAAGTACCTGTAAAAGAGAGAGAGAGTGAAGCAATATTGTGGCGAAGAGAAAGAGAAGAAAGCTTGTCAACTAAAGGAGGAGAGTTAATAAGACGAAATGCCTTTAATGCCACCCTATCTAACAGTAGGACAGAAGAAGAGCCAACCCAGATATGAGAGCAGTACTCCAAGTTAGGACGAATGAATCCCTTATATACTTGAAGCAACTGCTCAGGAGTGAAGTAGCTACTGCATCTGTACAGCATTCTCAGCAATAGAAGTTATTTATGATGATATGCTATTGCTATATTGATTTTTTATAAGACTAAAGTTCATAATATTTATTTGTTTATACTGTAGTCTTAAGTTAAAAAAATACTGTCTTCGAATGAGTGTTAAGTTAACCTGTCTATATAATGAAAAGCCTCTCTAATTCCATTTTCATTTTTGGATGTTATTTTTGTGTTTTATCTTAATTCATCCAGTCAGATGCATTTTAACATTTTTCCTTATGAGGATTTTCATCGTGTACAGTTTTGTGAATCCGGGCTGCGAGTCCTTGTGTTAGGGAGAACCTTATATATGGCGTGTGAATTAATGATATCCTGATTATTCTCTTTCAGTTGGTGTACAGAACATGGCAACTGCCTCGTTTATTATGTAAGTCTAACCTAATTTAACTTAGTTGAACCTAACCTAAATTAACCTAATGTACAGTATATTGACAAACTAACTTAGCATGAGTTAACTAAACCTAATCAAACTTAAGAATATCAAAATTAAACATAATTTACTCGAACTTATCCTAAATTAAACTAACATAACCTAACCATTGTCTAACACGATTTTCTAATTCAAGACACCAGAAAAAAAATTAACTGGGTTATACAAACACATTGTTAAAGAGCATACGCCTTAGAACTAGAGCAGCTCATAGCTTATATCCGTCTTTGGCTAAAATTAAGTACACAAGTAATAATATCAACTACAACTCTTGACGTTAAAAACTGAGATCATACTCCGAAGGCTCACTTTTAGGTGAAGGTTGACCAACCCCTTCCACCCGAATTTTGACTTTCGTGAGCATTCTGGGGCTATATATATAAACATAGAAAATTGTTAATCTCAGTTTCATTAACTGTAGCCATGCATAACAAAGAAACCTAAAAATATATATATTTTTTTAATTAGGGGATTCATCCTTTGGGGATGGGGCCAATCCTAAAAGATATTCTTCTATTATTATTATTATTATTATTATTATTATTATTATTATTATTATTATTATTATTATTATTATTATTATTATTATTATTATTATTATTATTATTATTATTATTATTATTATTATTATTATTATTATTATTAGTAGTAGTAGTAGTAGTAGTAGTAGTAGTAGAACTAAGGATGGCCAAAGACATCTAGGCGCAGTAATTGGCACTACGGACTTCAAGACCCAGTACGTAGGGGGAAAGGTGAATGAGTGGGTTAGCGAAATCCATGCTCTATCGGAGATTGCTAACACAGAGCCACATGCGGCCTTTGCAGCATTCACACATGGAGTCAAGCATCGTTGGAACTACCTGATGCGTACCATCCCTGAGATCCGACCCCTCCTCCACCCTTTGGAAGAAGCAATCAGTGTCAAGTTCATTCCCAAACTAGTGAAACACCACGACTTAACCCCAGTAGAAAGAACACTTCTTGCACTTCCACCAAGACTGGGAGGGATGGGACTAACTAATCCAGAGGAGATTGCTGACTCTGAACATCAAAATTCACTTAAGCTCACGGCAGCCCTCACTGACCACATAATAGCCCAGAATGCAACAGGGGAAGTGGACACCAGCGAAGTTAATAAGATCCGTAGATCCATCACAACAGATCGGCAGCACTGCCAAAATGACATGTTGCAGCAACTATTGCTGCAGGTTCCAGAAAATTTGACAAAAAAAGTAGCTATAGCGCAGGAGGTGGGCGCCTCGAACTGGTTAACAACGTTACCGATAAGGGCAAATGGTTTCAGCCTTAACAAACAAGAATTTACAGATGCCATTGCTCTAAGGTACGGTTGGCCAGTAGATGGTTTGCCCTCCCAATGCGTGTGTGGCTATTCCTATGATGGCGATCACGCCATGGTTTGCAAGAAGGGGGGCTTCATATGCATGAGGCATGACGAGGTAAGGGATCTCACAGCAAATATGTTGAAGGAAACCTGCCGGGACGTCATGGTAGAACCGACCCTCCTTCCACTGGATGGCGAGATCCTCCAACACAGGACTTCAAACACATCTAACGAAGCCCGTGTGGACGTCAGTGCTCGAGGATTCTGGACGCGGGGACAGCGAGCCTTCTTCGACATCAGGATTTTTGATCCCATGGCCGTTTGTCACCGTAACCTAGCTCTCGATGCTGCACATAGGAGGAACGAGAACGACAAGAGAAGGGCATATGGGGAGAGAATTCAAAGTGTCGATCAAGGCAGCTTCACTCCGCTAGTGTTCACAACCTCTGGTGGGATGGGCCCAAGCGCAAGATGTTTCTACGCCAGACTCGCGGAGCTGATCTCCGAACAGAAGCAGCAGCCCAGAAGTTATGTCACAGCCTGGATGAGATGTCGACTGTCCTTCTCTCTCCTTCGGTCGGCTTTGCTCTGCCTCAGGGGAACGAGAGCTTCTGCCCCTACTCCGTCAACTGCTGCAGATATCGACTATGAGGCTACAGTCACCGAATGCCGCATCGATCTGCGGCTCAACTAATTTAACACAGATAGGATAGTTGCTTATGTATTAGGATAGTTAATATTAAGGTAAATAAATGGTGGCGAAGGTGTGGCTATTGGGGGAGGCTGGAGGCCACGTAGTAGAAGTAGTAGCAGTAGTAGTAGTAGTATTACAGTTATAGTTATAATAATAATAATAATAATTATTATTATTATTATTATTATTATTATTATTATTATTATTATTATTATTATTATTATTATTATTACAGTTGTTATTATCGTTTGCGTGTTATCTTTCAGGACCTTTCCAAACAGGGGAAACAGCAACACCATAGACAAGCGACAGCCCTTGTCTGACAATACAGGTAAGAGAGAGAGAGAGATGAACCAATGTCAGCGATTCTTACGTTAAAAACAGAACACATAATCGTTGCCAAATAATATAAACAAAATATTGTGTACAAAACGAATAGCACCTCTTACTCATTGCTGAATTTCTGCTGAACTTTGAGAGTATTATCGATTTCGGCTGAGCACTGTTATATTTTGTTTGAATATTTTCATTCAATTATTAACGCCAATAAATATATCCCATTTAGACACAAAGTTTCAGTTTCCGTATGTGAACTCCCCTTGTTGTTATGATCGTGATCAGCTGGTAACCAGGGAACAAAATAATATACTGTAAACGATATCTTTCTCCCGGCAGATGGCAGAACACACACACACGCACACACACACACACACACACACACGCACGCACACACACACACACACACACACACACACACCATCCTTGACCACCGAAGGGTCATGACTTATTCAGGCGCTGCTCCTGGAGCAGCAGCCCCCCTTGGCTATATCGACCCATTCTTTAAGACCCTCGCCCCCACCCATCCCCACCACCGAGATATCAACATAATCAAAATTGACAATTTATTTTCGGAAAGAAGTGGGATCAGTGTTGAACAGTGATAAACAGTGTTTAAGCCAGTGAATTCAGCACTAGACAGTACCAGTGAGAGCCGTGACCCACCAGTGAAATAAGCATCCCAGTGGTGTAATGGTCAGCATCCTTCCCTCCAAGCGAGCGGACCTGAGTTTGTTCCTCGGCCATTGTGAAACTATGAGTAAGTTACTTTATGCCATTTGCCTCTGTCTAACCAGCAGTAATTAGGAACCTGGATGTTAATCGACTTGCGGATCGTATTCCGGGGTAATAGTTAGCCAGTGCAGCTGGCGAGTTGTGCGATCCTCTCGGACTTTTCCTTGACACTGGGTCATGCAGCTCGTTAACTTAGGGTATAGTTGTTGTGTTGGCGACAGTTTCTACACCTTAAACAAATTCACGCCTAGGTGGCCCTTGGGCCGGCCATCCTCGATTTCGAGGGGCTTCCATTATTAATATGTCCACCCTGGGAACAACAGCGGGCCGGCTTTACACCTGACTACAAGATAACACAACATCATCGAGCAGAGAGTGAGATACTGTGACCCCACTCCATACCATACGGTGTCTCCATGACCACGTGAAGTCCTTCATATCAACACCCGAGGAAGAGTTACTATACCACGTGAACACCACATCACCTGATATCTCCATGACCACGTGAGGTCCTTCATATCAACACCCGAGGACGAGTCACTGCACAATGTGAACACCACACCACCGGGTGTTCCCATGACCACGTGAGGTCCTTCATATCAACGCACGAGGACGAGTCACTGCACCGCGTGAACACCACACCACCGGGTGTCCCCATGACCACGTGAGGTCCTTCATATCAACACTCGAGGACGAGTCACTGCACCGCGTGAACACCACACCACCGGGTGTTCCCATGACCACGTGAGGTCCTTCATTTCAACACCCTAGGACGAGTTACCGCACCATGTGAACACCACACCACCTGGCGTCTCAATGACCAAGAACATAAGAACATAAGAAAATAAGGAGTCTGCAATAGGCCGGTTGGCCTGTGCATGGCAGCTCCTATCGAGAGTTACAACCACTCCCGATCATCCATGAATCTATCTAGCCTCCTTTTAAAACTTTCCAGCGTTCCAGCACTTACTACAAAGTTGCTAAGCTTGTTCCACTCGTCCACCACCCTATTTGTGAACCAGTTCCTTCCTATCTCCCTCCTAAACCTAAACTTATCCAACTTAAATCCGTTGCTACAAGTTCTATCCTGCTCGGATATTATAAGAACTTTATCTATATCTCCTATTTTGATATGGAAGGTTTCTAAGTCCCGGAATCATTTTCGTCATTCTTCGCTGCACCGACTCCAGTGAATTGATATCCATTCTATAATAAGGGCACCAGAACTGAACTGCATTGTCATGATCATAATGACGGCTAACCTGTTAAACTAATGATCCATATTACGCTTACACGTCCACAAAACCTTCTGAGTCTCCTAGTGGGAATATCCTCCGTTCTCCCTGTTTCTTTGATGACGTCATCGAGATGTCGTATGTTTGTTAACCAATTGTAATCTCTTTCTGCTACCGAGAACCTGTAAACCTTTTTTTTCACCTATGATTAGCAGAGACTCTGATAATCATAGTGAAATTGTGGTAGGGAGGTTAACTGAGGAATGAGTTGATATTCCTAGAAGGGAACCTTTTAAAATCGGTTCCTCAGGTTGTCGCAAGGCGTTGCGTGTTGGGACCTGTTGCCAACCTTTTGTTATCAATTTAATTCTTGCTTTTGATAGCTCAGTCAGAGCATTATTTGTAAAGATAATAGTAGGGAATGAAACTGAGTTCGTAGTCTCAGTTTCAAACGTCAGAGTGTTACAGTAACGTAATTCAGTGAAATGGTTGAGTAGGTGGAATCTATGACTTTAGCTGGGGTGGAAGGCGGCGGTTGGTTTTCAAAATCAGTGAGCCGGCACGTTTCCCTCCCACAGGTAGGTCACTCCACCTTCTCCGTGTTGTAATTCGCCATTTTTAAGTGATTTGACCTAACTATAGTTTGTTTGTGCAAGTGTTAAAGTAACGAAGTTAATGTGCTTTGAGTGAAGTATTTTATGTCCTTAGTTAATGTCCCTTTGAAACGTTGAGGTTCCTTATGAACCGTGAGTGAGCCGCCACGCTTCCCTCCCACAGGTCCCTATCGCAGCCTAGGCCGCGTCTGTAGCGTGGATGACGCATCCACTAGTCTGGGGAGATGTTTGAGGTCCAGTAGAATCGGGTATCCCTGTGAACCCCGACCGTCAGAAGCTCCACTACTACCTATGGGACCCATAGCTGGCCAGTATTCCCCCTGACGCCATGCCCTGTGGTGAACCCGGATCGTCACTCCCACAAACCACTGCCAGCCCCATCATTGGTGGATGAGTACAGTACATAGCTCTGTAACGCTATTTGTGTGGTGGTGTTAGTCCACCGGAATTATCGGAGTGTTGGAAGGTGTCACTTGGTGATGAGACTCCCTTGGCGGCCGCTGGAGTATTGCCCCTGGGGTATTGAGTGTTGTGCTGGCAGGTGCCACTGGGTTTATTGGTGCTAAGGTGCTGTGAGAGTTATGTGCGTTTTGTTGTGAGTACACCCAGTAGTGATGCAAGTAAATTGAGCCTGAGGGCAGGGTACCAGGAGTTCCTATTTCGGGTGCATACAGCATCTTTCCTGTAACCATTTTTGTGTCTCAATAAACAGTGTATTTGTATGTGGGTCTATGATTCACCTATAGTACTCACCGTTGTTCTCTCTCTAATACTCGATACTATATTTACATGTACTCATGGGCCTTCCTCTCTCATCACGCTATCAGGTCAGAGTATCAACGTAAGTTGTAAGAGTGCCAAGCTCTCACAGGGTGGGAGTTCGTGTTGCGCGTTCTTACAATTGGTGGCCTCAGTGGTCCAGCAGTAAGCAGTAGCAACCCGCGCTCTTACAGCATAATCGAGGTGCGGCCTAACTAGCGCAAGATATAGTTGCAATAAGACTAGCCCAGGCTCGGGCCATCAACTGTAAACTATATTAATTTGTATGCTCAATTCATATTCCTTCATCTTTCAGTAACAAAAGCTTTTGTTAAACGACCCACCCACCCCATGTCTTTGTATGTAATATGTCGTTTTTGTCCAATGTATATTTTCAGCCTACAGGCTTCAGAACTTTTTCAATAAACCTTTAATTATTATTATTATTATTATTATTATTATTATTATTATTATTATCATTATAACTGCTACTGCTATACTTTGTTGTCACTCGAAATCGAGTATGATGATCACCCAGCTATGATACAATGACATGAGTTATTAAGGATGTCAACTTCGTTTGTGAACTCTCAGATGACTCGAGAGGCCAATACGGGACCGGTAGGGTTGTCCACAGATGTTGTACGTGTGGAGGGCTACATCTAGTGCAGGAGGGGCGGCGGCAGTGTCTTCCGGCGTTGACGCTTGTCTGCCTTGGTATGTAATCGGCTAACTCGAAAGTATTGACACCTCGTGTGGTGCTCCTCCAAGCATCATCTCCCAGGTGAGGGGGTCGATTTGGCACTTTTCCAGGTTTATCTTAAGGTTATCATTATACCTTTTCAATTGCCTGCCAGCGTTACGTTTAATATTCATTTGGTGATTGTAAAGTAACTGCTTTGGCAGACTACTGTCGTCAATGCAGGTAAAGTGGCCAATCCAAAATAGTTGTTCATGGATAATGGTAGCATCGATACTCCTACATTTGGTGTCAGTGAGAATACTGGCGTTTGTTCTCTTGTCTTCCCAGCGAACTTGGAGGGTGGAACGTAGATTACGTTGGTGAAAGTTTTCAAGTGCCTTGAGGTGCCTCCTGTATGTGACCCATTTCTCTCTGCCATATAGCAGGGTGGAGAGGACCACTGGTCGATATACGTGCAACTTTGTAGATAATTTCAACTCACTCCAGCTGAATAAACGGGTACGGAGTCTGCCAAAGGCCTGAAATGCACATCCGATCCAATGTTGAATCTCTTCATCGATGTACGCGGTGGTGGACAGGTGGGTGCTGAGATACTGAAAGTGGTTAACTTTAAAGAGGGTAGTACCGTTAAGCTGGATGGATGGTGGAGGTGTGGCTGAACCGGGGGCAGGCTGAAAGAGAATCTGAGTCGTACATACATTCACCTCAAGGCTGAAGTGTGCTAACGCATCTGCGTAGGTGATCAGGATCTCCTGTTGGTCACGTTCACTGTGAGTGACGAAGGTGAGGTCGTCTGCATATTGAAGTTCGGTAATGGAAGCTGTCGACTTCTTTGTTCCTGCCTGGAGTCGTCTTATGTTGAAAAGACCCTTCATCCAGTATTCGATGTCCAGTCACCCTGCTGGCTAAATTGGCACTGGCATGAGTAAGGAAGGCAACCAAGAAAATGGAAAAGAGAATTGGTGCCAATACACATCCTTGTTTAACCTCTTTTTGGATGGGGACGAACCCTGACTGGGTGTCATTGTACAAAGCACTGCCGTTCTTGCCACTGTGAAGTTGCCTCACAATGGAGATGAATTTTGGTGAGCATCCAAAACCACTGAGGGTTCGCCAGAGGGCTTCCCTGTTGACCTACTCGAAGGCCTTGGTTAGGTCGATGAAGGCCATATACAAGTCATGATGCTGTATGTTCCACTTTTCCTGTGTCTGTCGGACAGCAAAGATCATGTCATTGGTGTCACGTGATGGTCTAAGGCCACATTGAGATTCAGGGATAAAGTTTTCCGCCTCATAAAGACAGCAGCGAAATCCCACTGTAGTTTTCACGGTCTGATGGGTCTCCCTTGTTCTTAAATATATAGACGATGGAGGTGTCTTTAAGAGCTTGGGGATTTCCTCCTTTTCCCATAATTATATTCTCCAGGAGAGAGTGGAAATGGCTGGTAAGCAGAGGTCCGCCTGCTTTCTACACCTCGGCTTGGATTCTATCAGGCACTGAAGCTTTGTTTTTTTACTCTGTTTGATGGCAGTAGCTACCTCATCCAGGGATGGAGGATAGCTCAGGTGGGTTAGTTCTCGATAAGTGAGGGACCTGCTTGGTAGTCAGGACATTGCTCTTTCCAGGGCTGAAGGGTGCCTTCTTCGTCTTTAATTAGGGAGTTACCGTCAGATGAGTGGAAGGGGGCTGTGCCATGAATGATTGGTCCCCAAAAATTTGAGTGGAATTGAAAAATTCGTGCATCTTGTGTTGATATGAAGTATTTGCAATTCACACGCTATATTTTGAACCATTTTGAACGATTGCGAAGTTCGCGCTGGTTTCCTGCATTTTTCTGAGGATTAATCAGCCATTCAGTTAAAGCAGCACGATTATCATTGAGGAGTACTTTGATTTGCGGGTCATTTTCATCAAACCAGTCTTGGTGTACTCTTTCGATCTGCAGTCAAGGGTCTCTTTGCAGGTTTTTGTCGTGACAGTGTCAAGAATATCCCATTCGGCACTGGGGTTTGGGTTGTTTGTTGTAAGGTTGTTCATCAGTCCATGTTCGAGCAGCTATCTGAAAGCATGTGCTACCGTTGGATCCTCCAGATGCTTAGTGTTAAAACCTTTCCTGGAGGCTTGTCGCCGTTTACGGCGACTTGAAGTGAGAGTTTGGCTCTGACGAGCCAATGATCAGTGACACAGTGGCCTGACCCTCGCAAGGCTTAGGCATAGCATATGAAATCGTGGAATCTGCTCTAAGTCATTATACCCACCTACTCACATTTTATATAATGCCCCAGAATCTTAAACAATGTCCATAGTGTGAGCAACCGTTTTACCATATATGACTTCTGCTATGTTATTGCATAATCTCTCTTCAATACACTCATATCATTTAATCTATAAGATGTTATAATATTGTATTTTATCACACAACAAACTCATACAAATAGTTTCAATACAGATTACTATCTATCTGTTGTCTACTGAACGGTGAGGTGGGGAGACGTTGGGAGAAGGGGTCAGCGCGCCGGGCACTGTTTAGAGCACAGGTGCACCATGTTTAGTAAATAAACCTCATTGTGTGAATGCAGATACTTTATAATTTGCGGTGTTTCCTTAAGTTTGGAAACACCGATAGCACATTACTGCCCGCTGTATTATGTGGACATACAACACATACATCGCAGAAATCATATGTGATAAAACAGTAAAATGGAGAAAAGGAAATCGGCTGGCCGTACTCTGGACAATGTCTCAGATTCAGAGGCATTATTTTAAATGTAAGTAGGTGTAAATAATAACGTAGGGTAGATTTTATATGCTATGTCTAAGCCCACCGGACGACCCGATCTTATTGACAAATTCAAAGTTCGATGTGTGTATGAACGACACCTGAAGGCTCTGAGGTATTACGTGCATGTGAGCGCCGCCACCACAATCCCTCACTCAAACGACACACACTCCACTCATGATGAGGCTTAAATCTATCCATGTTATTTTGAATGTTTATTACGGTCTTGTATGCCTCGAATTTATTGATTGATTTTCGCATGTTTCACTTTCAGGGAACCAATGATATCTACTTTTTTCTTTTTTACGGGCATAGCCCACCAGGGCACAGGTTAATGACCCACATCAGGGCCTGGAGGGCGAAAATATAATAATAATAATAATAATAATAATAATAATAATAATAATAATATTAATAATAAGAATAAGAATAAGAATAAGAATTAATAAAGAAATAGAAACAAATATTAAGTACAAATATAATAATAATAATAATAATAATAATAATAATAATGATAATAATAATAATAATAATAATAATAATAATAATAATAATAATAATGATAATAATAATAATAATAATAATAATAATAATAAATAAATAAATAAAAAAAAGATCAAGAGTAAGAAACATTATATGTATGTTGTGTTGTCAATAGTAAGAGAAACAATTGAGACCCTGCAACTGAGTGTAAATGAGGCAGAAAGTCAGATCAGCAACCTGGGACTTGGTCACAATTTTCGTGATGCCATATGGCAGCAGGGTCTACCATTGGACAACACATTATGCTTCCAATATCTTCCCAGGCGGTAGTACCTCCCTGTTTGATAGCTGCTTACTACCTACTTAATGTATAAATAACATCCAAGGGATATGATGTATAAGTACGTATGGAAAGGCATTTATAAGGCGTGCATTCATGCTTAGAACCAGTCAAATAACACTAGTATGATGGTAGTGTGATATGTGGTGTAATGCTTTTCATATTATAATTAAGCAATAATTTACTAAATCAAATATCATAATCTTACAATTACTTAGTAATAGTCATACTATAAAACACTACTTTGTATTATAATAAAGCATGATAAACTAAGACACAGTAGAGCCAACTATCGGATAGTAGTATCTTCGCCCAGGTGTGTAGGTTTGCGATTAGCAAGGCATCGTTGAAGTGTCTTATTTCAATATTTCACCACATCTTCCAGGACGGTGACAATATATTCTCATTATATATACCACTTCAAGAGTAACTACATAATATATATATATATATATATATATACAAGTAAATCACTGTAGAGAGAGAGCATTGTATAAGGTGTTAATGAAATTGTTTTGTTTTGCGATATTGTCTTCCTTGTACAAGAAGTTATCCTTTCACAGGGGTGCGTGTGATGACCAAGATCAAGAGCCGCATGGCACAGCAGACCCAGAGTAATAGACTGGAGAAGCGCATGCAGGCCGTTTACAAGAAGAAGCCGATCCAAAGTACAGGTAATAATTTTAAATTCTAAGAGATATTTTGAATATTTAGCCATAAGTGTGTGAACATTTGCAATATCAGACATAAAGTTGTGAGGCTCAACCATCAACTCCTAGACACCTCTTTTGTTTCCCTCTTATTCAGTGTTCGACTGTACATATTGCAAAAACGATCAATATTGAGCGATATTGCAACGAAAACAACGTAACCATGGTAGGAACTACTGACGTAACTAGTGGGTTTTGGAAATTTCGAGAAATAATTGCAAATTACTTGTTCATATTTTAGTTATAGTGGTAGTGATTATGGTTGTGATATTTGTTTTTTTAATTTGATGTTTTCAAATTTATCACATCACTCAGCTTGCTAGCCGATCGGGTGGTCGACTATGTTCTCTAATCTGGCCGTCATGGTGTAGTGTTACTAGAAGAAGGTGGAATACACTGAGAAGGCTTACCATGTAGGGCATCCTCCATGGCGGCCAGAGGGGAGTCAAAATAATATAGACACTACCGGTAGACATATTTTCTTGACCAACGTGAAAAAAAAAGAACCGGTAACTGGAAATATCAACATGGAACACAACAATGTTATTCTCCATCTCTCAAGTGAATCAAAATGAATACAATACAGTTTAGTATAATATAGTGAAACACGTTGGTGCAGTTTTATTATGATAATGTAGACAATAATTCGCTTTTAGACATATCACTTATTTAGTTGCAGGAATCATCTTTGTACTGACTACTGCTCAAAGCCTCCAGACAACAGTAAAATATTTCAGGGAAAGAAGCACAGAGGTAAACGTATACCCAGCATCACCCCTACATAAGAACACAAGAACATCAGAAAATAAGGAGTCTGCAATAGGCCGGATGACCTGTGCATAGCAGCTCCTGTCGAAAGTTACTACCACTCAATATCATCCATGAATCTATCTAGCCTCCTTTTAAAACTTTCCAGAGTTCCAGCACTTACTACAAAGTTGCTAAGCTTGTTCTACTCGTCCACCACCTTATTTGTGAACCAGTTCCTTCCTATCTCCCTCCTAAACCTATACTTATCCAACTTAAATCCGTTGCTACGAGTCCTATCCTGCTCGGATATTATAAGAACTTTATCTACATCCCCTTTATTGATTCCTTTCACCCACTTAAATACTTCTATCATATCGCCCCGCAGTCTTCGTCTTTCTAGGGAATGCAAGTTTAGTTTCTTTAACCTATCTTAATATGGAAGGTTTCTAAGTCCCGGAATCATTTTCGTCATTCTTCGCTGCACCGACTCCAGTGAGTTGATATCCATTCTATAATAGGGGCACCAGAACTGAACCGCATAATCGAGGTGCGGCCTGACTAGCGCAAGATATAGTTGCAATAAGACCTCTACACTCTTATTACTTACACTTCTAGATATAAAACCTAATACTCTGTTTGCCTTATTTCGAACATGAACTCACTGTTTTCTAGGCCGTAGGTCTGGGCTTACAAGTACCCCTAGGTCTCTTTCACAAGTACACTTCTCTAGGTTGATGTTAAGGCTGTATACATTAACAGTATTTGTTCTTCCACTATTCAGTATGCTGCACTTGCTGGTGTTGAATTTCATCCCTAGCATAATGGTCCCTTCTGCTGTAAAAGTTGTCCCAGTTGTCAATGAATGGGACTGCTGATATTGACTTGCAATATTTGTCAAGACGGCCGTTAGCTTTCTTCCTCATTTCGTTATCAGATTTTTTTTATTATTTACTGGAGTGTTTGGTCTCAAAATGGCGATTTGTGTTGTGATTCTTTTGCACTGCCACACTTTTTTTGCAAATTAAACACACTGCTTTTCCATCCACGTTGGTAAAAAAATATTTAGAAGTCCATTCCTTCTTGAATGTTCGACACACTGCTTCAGCTTTCTTCTTCTTAGATTCACTCATTTTCACTTACAAATTATGGGTTGGGGGGCAACAACAACACATACATAAGTACAAATTCTGCAAAACCAGAGTAACTTCCTCTTAAGTGAGAAGCAGAGAGAAGACTGAGCTTCTCTTGTGTTGGTGCTGAACGCCCAGGTCAGTGAAGGACTCAATATTGAGGTGTGGGTGTGGCCGTCCAGGTCATATAGTCAAGAATGGATTTCTCAAGTAAGGGTTTACTGACCTCCCTTTGCCTAATCCTTAATCCTAATCTCTATGGATAACCATACTTGGGGTATTCACAAGGCCAGGTCAACAGGTTATGAGCCAGTCTTGCAGCTATTGGTGGCCAACTCCCACATAATATTGATCCTTTCTAAGATTAAAACAAAATCTCCATTGCCACATGTAACTGCGAGCAACAGAAATAATCTGGCGGGCAAAATTTGGCCCGCGGGCAGTATCTTGTCCACCCCTGACCTACACCATTACCCACACCAACACCAAGACCTACTGGACACCATCACATACACCAACACCTACACCATTACCAACATCAGCACCAACACCTACACCAACACTTACACCAACACCTCCATCAACACTAACACCTTCCCCATCACCTACACCAACAACAACGCCTACACTAACACCAACACCTACACCATCACCTACACCAACACCAACGCCTACACTAACACCAACACCTCTATCAACACTAACATCTTCGCCAACACCTACACTAACACCAACACTTACACTTACACCAACACCTACACCAACACCAACATCAACACCAACACCTCCATCAACACTAACACCTTCAACACCTCCATCAACACTAACACCTTCGCCAACACCTACACTAACACCAACACTTACACTTACACTTATACTTACACCAACACCTACACCAACACCAGCATAAACACCAACACCAACAACTCCATCAACACTAACACCTTCGCAACACCTACACTAACACCAACACCAAACTTACACTTACACTTACACTTACACCAACACCTACACCAACACCAACACTTACACCAACACCAACACCAACATTAACAACACTACCTTCCATCAACACTAACACTCGGCAACACCTAGACCAACATCAACACCAACACTTACACTTACACACCAACACCTACACCAACACTTACACCAACACCAACACCTACACCAACACTTACACTTACACCAACACCTACACCAACACCTACACCAACACCAACACCTACACCAACACTTACACTTACACCAACACCACACCAAAGACTTAACTCTACACAACACTCTACACCAACACTTCACAACAACACAAACACCTACACCAACACTTACACTTACACCAACACCTACACCAACACCTACACCAACACCAACACCTACACCAACACTTACACTTCCACACCAACACTCTACCCAACATTTACACACAACACTAAAAACCTACACCAAACACTTACACTTACACCAACACCAACATTAACATCACCTACACTTACCGTTCACAACAACACCAACACTTACACCAAATCGACACCAAATAACACCAACACTCTACACTTCAACACCGACACACCAACACCTACACTTACAATTTACACCAACACCTACACCAACACCTACACCAACATCAACAACACTTCACACATACACCAACACCAACACTTACACCAACACCAACACCACAACACTTACACCAACACCAACACCAACACTTACACTTAACACCAACACTCAACACCTACACTTACACCTACACTTACACCAACACTTACACCAACACCAACACCACCAACACTTACACCAACACCACCAACACCAACACCAACACTTACACTTCACACCAACACCAACACTCCACACCACAACACTCCACACTCAACACCAACACTACACCAACACCAACACCAACACTTACACCAACACACCAACACTTACACCAACAATTCGCCAACACTTCAACACCAACACTTTTCTTCCCAACATACTACATGTCTTACTTGAAGCACCAATGTTACTTGCATATTACCTTAATCGTAACCTACCAAATATGAACTGCACACTTTCAGCATCTGGCTCCACAAGCACTTTTCACTAAACCGCATTAATTACCATTACACATTACCAACACTATTACCATCACCACCATTATTACACCAACACCAACACTTACAAACTCAACACCAACGCCACACCTACACCAACACCTTACACCAACACCAACACTTACACCAACACCAACACCTAAACACTCCACACCAACACCAACACTTACACTTACACCAACACCAACACTACACCAACACCTACACCAACACTCCATACCACAACACCAACACCTACACCAACACCAACACCTACACCTACACCTGCACCTACACTAACACTTACATGCCTCACACCTACACCAACACTTACACCAACACCAACACCAATGCCTACACCAACACCAACAACTACACCTACACCAACAACAACAACACACTGTGCACTACAGCCTACACCAACACCTACCAACACCTACAGCTACACCAACACTTACACCAGCACACCTACACCCTGCACCAACACCTGCACCTGCATCAATACCCTGCATCAACACTTACCTGTACACTAACACCTACCTTATACCAACACAACACCTGCACAACACCTACACCTACACCAACACCAACACTTACCTGTTGCACTAACACCTACACCAACACTTACACCAACACCAACACCTACACCTACACCAACACCTGCACCTACACCTACACCAACACCAACACTTGCCTGTACACAAACACCAACACCAACATTATTACCAACACCAACACTTACACTTACACCAACACTTACCACCAACACCAACACCTACACACAAACACCTACACCTACATCTATACCTACACCAACACTTACAGCAACACCTACACCTACACTTACACCAACACCTACACACCAACACCTACACCAACATACCCTACAAACACCTACACCTACATCTACACCTACACCAACACTTACAGCAACACCTACACCTACACTTACACCAACACCGACACCAGCGCAAACAACTACACCTACACCCTACCAACACCTACACAAACACCTATACCAACACCTATACCTACCAACACCTACACACCTACACCTACACAACACCTATACCTACAGCAACTCTTACACCAACACCTACACAAGCACCTACACCTACACCTACACCAACACCTACACCTACACGAACACCTGCAAACACACACACCTACACTGCACCTACACAAACACCTGCACCTACACCAACTCTTACACCAGCACCTACAGGCACCTACACCTACACCAACACCTACACCAGCACCTGCACACCTACACCAACACTTACACTCCCACACTAACACCAACACCAACACCTACACCTGCACAAACACCTACACCTACGCCTACACCTCACCCACACTATTTACACTTACCAACACCAACACCTCACCAACACCTACACAAACACCTACATACCTACACCAACACTTACACTTTCACCAACCCTACACCAACACCTACTCAAACACCTACACCTATACCTACACCTCACCTACACACTACACACACCTACACCTACACCAACCTTACCCAACCTTACCTTACACCTATAACACCTACTGCCCTCACCTACACCTACACCCAACACCTACACCCACACCTACACCTACACCAACACCAACACTTACCTGTACAAACACCTACTCCCACCAACTGCACCCCTACACCTACACCAACATCTACACCAACACAAACACCTACACCTAACCTACATACCTACACAAACACCTACACCTACTACACCTGCACCTACTAACACTTACACTTACACCGACACCAACACCTACACCAACACCTACACAAACACCTACACCAACACCTACACAACCACACCAACACCTGCACCTACACCAACACCTACACCCACACCAACACCTACACCCACACCAACACCTACAGCAACACCTACACCAACACCTATACCAACACCTACACCAACACCTACACCTACACCTACACCTACAGCAATAGCAACACCACCTACACCACCATCTACACCCACACCAACACCCACACCTGCACCAACACCTACACCTACACCTCACACCCACACCAACACCTACACCAACACCCACACCTACACCTACACCTACACCTACACCCACACCACACCCACAGCAATAGCAACACCTGCACCCACACTACCATCTACACCTACACCAAACACCTACACCTACACCAACACCCACACCAACACCCACACTCACACCCAACACCAACACCTGCACCTACACTACCATCTCACACCTACACCAACACCTACACCAACACCTACACCTACAACCAACACTCACAACACATACACCTACACCCCACACCAACACCTACACCAACACCAACACCTACACCAACACCTACACCTACACCAACACTCAACACCTACACCTACACCAACATACCTACACCAACACCTTCACTGAGACCTAAAGCTGTCTTTTTCATGAAGGTACTTGTTCACTCGACTTCAAGGATAATTTCGATCACCCCATGTTGGTGAAAAAGGGGCAAAATAAGTTGATGTATCCAGTGATCCAGGGAAATTCGAGGATGGTTATTATTCCACCTGACACCGTCGTCACGGCCTCCTGCCCTGGCCCAAATAACATGATCAGCGCGACCAACGCAGATAAGTACATAGAGGTCACCTGCACTTCTGGACAGTTACGAAGGAATGAAGTAAACGTGAGTATCTCTGTACCCACCAGGTTGTGTGTGTTAATCTTACTGTAAATAAGAATAATTGTCCAATACCGATAGATTTTTTTTCTCTTGTCTGGCGATTATGTTGATAATATAATGCATAATATAGATCAACATTATAATACATAAACTAATCTAACCTGCCCTGACTTTATCTTGTCTACTATAGATATAATTTCACCATTTTGTGATGGTAAATGATGTCTTAAATGAATAAAATATAAAATTCTAATATGCCATATTCAAACTAATTTATAATAAATACGAGCAATAAAAATATAACTTTATTTAAAACAGCTGCAGTAAAATACAGCTACATAAACATCACTTATGAGTGATTTGACTTTGTTTTAATTTATCATAAAAACATGAAAGTAGGAATTGCTAAGAATCTTACACTAACAAAGCGAACACAATTGGAGCTTAGGGGGAGCTGGTGGTAGGGCGGTACCATTCTTGCCTCGCAAGCAAGATGTCACGGGTTCGATTCCCGGGCCGGCGGAAGTTGTTTGGACACTCTTCCTAGTCCCCTTGGTCCCTATTCACCTAGCAGCAGGTAGGTACCTACTGTAAATCGGAAGATACGAATTCGTATTCAGGGACAAGTTGTTGGAGCCTTCAATAACTTGCTTAGACATAAACCATTGACTCTTCAGGCTTCTACGCCCTTAACTCATGAGACATAAGGCAAGCATGAACTTAGCATGCTTCCCGGTTGGACGCTGTAAACGCCTCTGCGCTTCACCTTACACAAGGATGTAGGGGAGTGCCCAATAAATAAAAAAATAGAGCTTACAAGTAACAGTTGAAACTCGGAAACTAATACGAAAGCCAATGGTTGGACTTCAGGAGAAACTACTCCGTTCTGATCAGTCTCATGTCGTCGGGGTAATTGTTAAAGATTTGGAAATCTAACTTGTATATAAGGTACCGTTTGCCTGGCTATAGTCTCTGTCAGCGGTAGTTAATTCTACCCTTATAATTCCTTTATTTTTATAGGTGGACTGGAACACCCTAAGCTGCTCAACCAAATTAAAACCCACCTTAAGCTGCTCGCCTGCCACGGATCCTACCCTGAATAAGATGGAATTATGTACTTTAAAATGGGACATAGCCCCTAAGGTCGAAGTCATTCAATACACAAGCGTCATCGACCCAAACCTGAAGACTACATTGTACACTAGTCATACTCTCTACGGCCAGTGAGTGTTCAGAGGCTAATTATTACAGTATACGGATGGAGCGTCAGAGTAGGATAGTTATACTAAGTGGGACAGATAGTTATAGTAAGTGGGGACAGGATAGTAATAGTAAGTGGGGACAGGACAGTTATAGTAAGTGGAGACAGGATAGTTGCAGTAAGTGGGGACAGGATAGTTATAGTAAGTGGGGACAGGACAGTTATAGTAAGTGGGGACAGGATAGTTGCAGTAAGTGGGGACAGGATAGTTGTAAGTGACAGGATAGTTATAGTAAGTGGAGACAGGATAGTTGCAGTAAGTGGGGACAGGGTAGTTATAGTAAGTGGGGACAGGATAGTTATAGTAAGTGGGGACAGGATAGTTGTAGTAAGTGGGGACAGGACAGTTATAGTAAGTGGGAACAGGATAGTTGCAGTAAGTGGGGACAGGTTATAGTAAGTGGGGACAGGATAGTTGTTGTAAGTGGGGACAGGATAGTTGTAGTAAGTGGGTACAGAACAGTTATAGTAAGTGGACACAGGATAGTTATAGTAAGAGGGGACAGGAGGTTATAGGAGGTGTTGGGGACAGGACAGTTTGAGATAGTTAGGTGGGGACAGGATATTAGTAGTAAGTGGGACAGGATAGTTGTAGGTGGGGACAGGATAGTTGATAGTAAGTGGGGACAGGACAGTTATAGTAAGGGAGACAGGATAGTTATAGTAAGTGGGGACAGGATAGTTGTAGTAAGTGGGGACAGGATAGTTATAGTAAGTGGGACAGATATGTAGTGTGGGACAGGACAGTTATAGTAAGTGGGGACAGGGAAGTTGCAGTAAGTGGGGACAGGATGAGTTATAGTAAGGGACAGGACAGTTATAGTAAGTGGAGACAGGATATTGCAGGGGGACAGGATAGTTATAGTAAGTGGGGACAGAGAGTTATAGTGGGGACAGGATAGTTATAGTAAGAGGGACAGGATGAGTAGAGACAGGACAGTTATAGTAAGGGGGACAGGATATTATAGGTAAGTGGGACAGGATATTACAGTAAGTGGGGACAGGTGTTATAGTATGAGGGACAGGATAGTTATAGTAAGGGACAGGATGGTGGTAAGTGGGGACAGAGGGAAGTTATAGTAAGTGACAGGATAGTTGTAGTAAGTGGGACAGGATAGTTATAGTAAGTGGGGACAGGATAGGTAGTAAGTGGGGACAGGATAGTTATAGTAAGAGGGACAGGATGTGAGGTAAGTGGGGACAGGACAGGAGTGGGACAGGAAGGTGTAAGGGGACAGGAAGTTATAGTAAGGGGGACAGGATGTTATAGTAAGTGGGGACAGGATAGTTATAGTAAGTGGAGACAGGATAGTTGAGGAAGAGGGACAGGATGGTTATAGTAAGTGGGGACAGATAAGTAGTAGGTGTAGTAAGGGGACAGGAGAGTTATAGTAAGTGGGACAGGATGGTAGTGTAGGGACAGGATGATGGGACAGGATATTATAGTAAGAGAGGACAGGATAGTTATAGTAAGAGGGACAGGATAGTTATAGTAAGTGGGACAGGACAGTTATAGTGGAGACAGGATAGTTGCAGTAAGGGACAGGATAGTTATAGTAAGTGGGGACAGGACAGGGGGGATGTGAGAGGTGGGGACAGAGGAGGATATAGGTGGGACAGGATAGTTATAAAAGAGGGACAGGATAGTTATAGAGGGAGATAGTTAGGAAGAGGGGAGGAGGAAGGAGTTGGACAGGACAGTTTGTAAGGGAGACAGGATAGTTATAGTAAGTGGGGACAGGATAGTTATAGGTGGGGACAGGATTGTTGTAGTAAGGGACAGACGTAAAGTGGGACAGACAGTTAGAAAAGTGGGACAGGACAGTTATAGGTGAGACAGGATAGTTATAGTAGAGACAGTTATAGTAAGTGGGGACAGACAGTTATAGAAGGGAGACAGGATAGAGGAAGGACAGGATAATAGTAAGTGGGACAGGATAGTTATAGTAAGGGGACAGGAGGTGAGGAGAAGAGGTGAGACAGGATAGTTATAGTAAGTGGGACAGGATAGTTGTAGTAAGTGGGGACAGGATAGTTATAGTAAGTGGTAGATAGTTATAGTAAGTGACAGGATAGTTGTAGTAAGTGGGGACAGGATAGTTATAGTAAGTGGGACAGGATAGTTAGAAAGTGGGACAGGATAGTTATGTAAGGGGACAGGACAGTTATAGTAAGTGGGGACAGATGGTTATAGTAAGGGGGACAGGATAGTTATAGTAGAGGACAGGATAGTTATAGTAAGAGGGGACAGGATAGTTGGTAAGTGGGGACAGGACGGTTATAGTAAGTGGAGACAGGATGGTTAATAGTAAGAGGACAGGATAGTTATAGTAGTGGGGACAGGATAGTTGTAGTAAGTGGGGACAGGATGGTTATAGTAAATGGGGACAGGATGGTTATAGTAGAGGGGACAGGATAGTTATAGTAGAGGGACAGGATGGTTATAGTGAGGTGGGGACAGGATGGTTATGGTGAAATGGGGACAGGATAGTTATAGTAGTGGGGGACAGGATGGTTATGGTGAGTGGGGACAGGATGGTTATAGTGAAGTGGGGACAGGATGGTTATAGTAAGTGGGGGACAGGATGATGGTTATAGTAAGTGGGGACAGGATGGTTATAGTAAGTGGGGACAGGATAGTTATAGTAGAGGGACAGGATGGTTATAGTAAGGTGGGGACAGGACAGTTATAGTAAGTGGGGACAGGATGGTTATAGTAAAGTGGGGACAGGATGGTTATAGTGAAGTGGGGACAGGATGGTTATAGTAAGTGGGGACAGGATGGTTATAGTAAATGGGGACAGGATGGTTATAGTGAAAGTGGGGACAGGATAGTTATAGTAGTGGGGACAGGATGGTTATAGTAGAGGGACAGGATAGTTATAGTAAGTGGGGACAGGATGGTTATAGTAAAGTGGGGACAGGATGGTTATAGTAAGTGGGGACAGGATGGTTATAGTAAGGGGACGGATGGTTATAGTAGAGAGGACAGGATAGTTATAGTAAGTGGGGACAGGATGGTTATAGTAAGTGGGGACAGGATAGTTATAGTAAGTGGGGACAGGATAGTTATAGTAGTGGGGATAGTTATAGTAAGTGGGGACAGGATGGTTATAGTGGAGGGACAGGATGGTTATTGAAATTGGGGACAGGATGGTTATAGTGAGGTGGGGACAGGATGGTTATAGTGAGGTGGGGACAGGATAGTTATAGTAAAGTGGGGACAGGATGGTTATAGTAAGTGGGGACAGGATAGTTATGAGTGAGTGGGGACAGGATAGTTATAGTAAGGAGTGGGGACAGGATGGTTATAGTAAGTGGGGACAGGATAGTTATAGTGAAGTGGGGACAGGATGGTTATAAAGTGGGGACAGGATGGTTATAGTGGTGGGGACAGGACAGTTATAGTAGTGGGGACAGGATGGTTATAGTGAAATTGGGGACAGGATGGTTATAGTAAGAGGGGGACAGGATGGTTATAGTGAAATTGGGACAGGATGGTTATAGTAAAGTGGGGACAGGATAGTTATAGTAAGTGGGGACAGGATGGTTATAGTAAGTGGGGACAGGATGGTTATGAGTAAGTGGGGACAGGATAGTTATAGTAAGGACAGGATGGTTATAGTGAAATTGGGGACAGGATGGTTATAGTAAGTGGGGACAGGATAGTTATAGTAAGTGGGGACAGGATGGTTATAGTAAGTGGGGACAGGATGGTTATAGTAAGTGGGGACAGGATAGTTATAGTGAAGTGGGGACAGGATGGTTATAGTAGTGGGGACAGGATAGTTATAGTAGAGGGACAGGATGGTTATAGTGAGAGTGGGGACAGGATGGTTATAGTAAGTGGGGACGGGATGGTTATAGTAAGTGGGGACAGGATAGTTATAGTGAAGTGGGGACAGGATGGTTATAGTGAGGTGGGGACAGGATGATTATAGTGGGGGACAGGATGGTTATGGTAAGTGGGGACAGGGACGGTTATAGTGAAATTGGGGACAGGATGGTTATAGTGAAGTGGGGACAGGATGGTTATAGTGAAGTGGGGACAGGATGGTTATAGTAGAGGACAGGATGGTTATAGTAAGTGGGACAGGATGAGTTATAGTAAGTGGGGACAGGATGGTTATAGTAAGTGGGACAGGATAGTTATAGTAGAGGACAGGATGGTTATAGTAGGGGACAGGATGGTTATAGTTAAGTGGGGACAGGATGGTTATAGTAAGTGGGGACAGGATGGTTATAGTAGGTTGGGGACAGGATGGTTGTGGTAGGTGGGGACAGGATGGTTACAGTGGAGGGGACAGATGGTTGCAGTGGGTGGGGACAGGATGGTTGCAGTGGGTGGGGACAGGATGGTTACAGTGGGTGGGGACAGGATGGTTACAGTGGGTGGGACAGGATGGTTATAGTAGGTGGGGACAGGATTTTTTTAGAGAAGGTGCAGGATGGTGTACAGGATCAGGGTGGGGACGAAATAGATAATAATAATAATAATAATAATAATAATAAATATTTTTAAATATTTTTTTTTTTTTATATAATAATATATATAAGAACAAAAATAAACAAAATGAAAAAAGTGAGGAACAATATATATATGTTGTGTTAAGAAACAATTGAGACTGCAATTGTGTGTAGAAAATGAGGCAATCAGATCAACAACCTGGGACGTGGTCACAATTTTTCGTGATGCATATGGCAGCAGGGTCTACATAGACACACATTATGTTAATATTTCCAGGCGGTAGTACTCTATTTGGTAGCTGCCTAATACTACTACGATGGTTACAGTGGGTGGGGACAGGATGGTTACAGTGGGTGGGGACAAGATGGTTACAGTGAGGTGGGGACAGGATGGTTACGGTGGTGGGGACAAGATGGTTGCAGTAGGTGGGGACAAGATGGTTACGGTAGGTGGGGACAAGATGGTTACAGTGGGTGGGGGACAGGATGGTTTTGATGGGTGGGGACAGGATGG